AAGGGCTTTCAAGAGCGGAGCTAACACTCAAAAAACTTCTCATGAAAAGGCCGTGCGTGACCGGCCTGAAGCAGTTGTCCCTTGGACTCTGCGGTCACGCTCCCATGTCTCCAAGACCAACACTGATCTATCTTCCTTTTCAGGTTCCTCAAGAAACAACCATCCACGATATAGTCAGTTGGGAAGTGACAACCGCCTTCATAGCCGCACCAGATGATGATGGCTAACAGTGGAATCCATGGTGTAAGTTTCGTCCGTCTCCTGTGGGACTTGTCATCTCAATGTATCTGCCCTTTTTTCATAATTTATGTTCACTCAAAGGGCTCGAACTCAATAACATTATTGGCTTGAAACACACTATTGTGTTGTTATCCACTTCTAACTAGAATGAGGCATGCCTATTTGGATTGAACTTTTCTTACATTAAGGTATTATGTAGATCGTTGTGTTTACACATTCAAATCATGAATGAATCATTGTTAGACCACAATTAGAAACATGGAAGCACTGAATGACCGTTTTGTCCTAGTATGTGACTAATCAGCAGTACATATCCGCGATTCCTGCTTCTCGCAAGACTCGAACCCGATCGAACTTCGAACTTGTGCGTTAGGTCGTTAGACCTCACTTAGAAAAGGTCCTGACTTTGAAATTTCTGTGTTTTCGCGCATAAGCCACCCAGCTGACCTTGAGATTACATATCGCAATCAGAAAATCTTTCACTTTCATTGAATGATATATTATTTTAGTACGCTATTTTTGTGGCTCTCACAAGGAAGTTTCTATCATGTTTAAATAGGGCTCGATTTGTGTGCTTGTCAACCTTGTATTTTCTGGGTGCTCGTAGAATACACTCTGTACGCTATTCCTAGATTTCCTGATATAGTTAGCCAGCCCGGAGACAAAGGGTTAGAATAGTCTATCGTGTCACTGCATCATTTTTCTTTGCTCTCATTACCGAGTAAGTTGAACTCGTAATAGTTTCATGCATATCAACTGACGAGCATATCAGGAGAACATTGTTTTTACACAGTGAAATCATGATGGCATCATTGTTAGACCACCATTAGAAACATCGAAGCACTGGACGGCCATTTGTGACTAATCATCAGTGCACATCTACCACTACTGCTACTTGCAGAATTCGAATACAGGACCCTCGAACTTGCACGTGAACGCCTAACCTCTAAACCACTGAGCTGGCAGCATCCAACAGTGTTGATGTCCAACTCTGATCAGTCTAGGGATTTTGCTCAACTTGACCCATTGCCTTCGGTAGTTATTGACATTTACAGGTTTCTTTTTTTGTTGAGAAAAATAGTTGGCTTTTTAGCAATGGCCATTTATATTGCTTAGATATACTTCGCACAGATTAGTCTATGCGAGTGCATCCATTCATTGTGCTCTCTCAAATCCTAACCTTCTGCAATCGTCAGCACATCTACCTTTGTCTTTCTAACCTTATCTCACTCACTGAATTATACTTCTTGAATAATATCTTCAAACCCTAGTCTTCTTCATTACCATTAATACCTCTACTATCTTTATCACTATGGGATGATTTGATTTGACATTTGCGTCTCTGTGCTAATATTGTGGTATGGCAACATGAACTTATGTACATACGTACGATGTTCTACGTTGCAACTGACTGACTGACTGACTGACTGACTACATAGATTAGTCACAAATTTTATCTAGCTGAATTTTCTTCAATATCTAGAGACAATGAGTATTTTAAAGTTATTCATTACTAATATATATATATATATATATATATATATATATATATATATATAACATCTAAAAATTGTTACACCCTTATCATCAGTTAAACTAACAATAGTTTTGATTACAATAAGAGAGAAAAACGAAACACCAATAAAAGACATTATCGATCGAAACAGATAATCTCTAAAACACGAAAAAATATGCGCTACAAATAAAATCATTTTATAAAATCAAGAGTCAAGTTCCACTACAAATTCTGATCATGATCGGAATTGATTTCCATTGGTCAAGGTTATCAACTATTGATCGAGGTCATATCAGGTAGGATGATTTGCGTACATTCCCACTTAGTTTTATCAATTAATATATACGTGAATTTAAAATTCATATCAAACGAAGAGGTTGGTGATTGAAATATTCAATTATCAATAACAATTTGAAAATTATTCAATAAGAAACTTAATCAACTGACCACAACCGTGTATTCCAGTTGTTTACGACGGCGCATAGTAGGTGTTTATTTGTAAATGTCAATTTTAAACAGATGCCTTACTATGGTATCCTATCAAATGTTTTCAAAACATTTACTATGTAATTAATTAGTTGTGGAGTCGAGTAAACATGAGTTCTGTTATATATATGTTGGCCTTATTATTTGGATGTATCTAAATCCTAGTATTATTGGTCACATTAAGATTCGAACCTAGTACGTTTCACACAAAAACGATGATGTTGCCTTGTATAGGAGTGAGTTAAAAGAAAGAGCGAAGGGCGGTCAAAACAAAATATGACATCAGTCCATTAAAGTCATTGACAATTGGACTGAACCAGGTTAACATGTATAGACTAACTGGTTGTAGTCGTCTGCAAGACAATCGTAACCAGTTGTTACAGGCTTTCAGTCAGTCAGTTCCAACGTAGAACTTCGTACGTATGTACATAAGTTCAGGTTGCCATACCACAGTATTAGCACAGAGACACAAATGTCAAATCAAATCCCATAGTCATAAAGATAGTAGAGGTATTAATGGTAATGAAGAAGACTAGGGTTTGAAGATATTATTCAAGAAGTATAATTCAGTGAGATAAATTTAGAAAGACAAAGGTAGATGTGCTGACGAATCCAGAAGATTAGGATTTGAGAGAACACAACGAATGGATGCACTTGCGCCATTGCAAACGATTTTGAGCCATGTCATTCAAGGTCTCTAACCATTGGTGACTTTCGTCTCGCGGACCACAACCAGGTAGTCTACATCTACCAACATGACTCAGTCCACTTGTCAGTGACTTCATGCATTTCTGCCATGTTTTGTTCTGGCCGACCATAACTTTCTTCCAATCTACTCCTACATCACAAAACATAGCTCGTCGAGTCAGTCGGTGGTTGGGCATACGTAACAATTGTTCCAACCACCTAAACTGATAAAGTTTCAATGCTTCATCTACTGATATGCCGTCCATACCTAGCACCCGTCTCCTAACAACAGCATTGCTTACTCGGTTGTCCCATTATACACGAGCAATGCCTCGGAGACATCGATGATCGAAGACTGGTAACCTACGGAAGTCCTCTACTCTTAACGGCCATGTTTCGCACCCATATAGGAGAACGGAACGAACTGCTGCACAGTACACCCGTCCTTTGGTTAGCGAACGGACATCTCACCTGCGCCATAGGTGACGCAGGTTGGCAAAAGCCAGTCGAGCTTTCTGTATGCGAGCTGAGATTTTGTCAGTCACAAGGCTATCAGCACTGATGAGACTCCCCAGATAAGTGAAGCGATCAACATGCTCGACTACTTCACTCCCTATCACTAGTTCAGGTTACAGGCTTTAAATAACATGGCTGGAACTTAGTTGCAATCATGCGGATGCATCATCCAGTCTTTGTCTTCTCACAGCTTCTAATCTACTGAATTCGTCTTGACCGTTTTTCTCGTTTTAAACTTATTTCACTGGTTTATACTACTTAGATCATATCTTCGATCCTTAATGTTTTCGATTACCGCTAATACTTCTACTACCTCTATCAACATGGGAATTGAATTGAAAATTTCGTTTCTCTGTACTAATGTGTGATGATAGCTTGAACTGATGTACATATATATCACGCTCTACGTTACAACTGACTGACTGACTGGTATAAACATGTTAAGGATGCTGGATCCTCAGAAATCGCTTATTAAATCTCTTAATTTTGTAATTTATTTTAAAAAATTTGCATTCCCTATCTTCACATCAAAAACATCCCTTCCTTACTGTTAGTTTTTGTTTCCCACTTGAAACGATCTTACACTTGATTGGTTCCGAATCTCTTTTAGTGTATTATTTTATAATCCCTTCAAGGAAGCTTTTGTACTACTGTATAAATTACACTTGAATTAAATACTTGCCGATTCATACAAACATTTTGCTAGCTTCAAACTTCTTACTGTAGAGTTAACTGTGCTTTGGATTACAGAAAATCGATTGTGTCAGTCAGTGGTTTACATTCCGTTCACCGATATCAAGTTATATCTTAATTACCACGAGACTACCAAAACACAAAATGACTATAGACAGCATACACTTCACAACAACAATAATATTAATAATGAATTTTGACATTATAGTATTTATGGGGATCGTAGTTTTACTCTGAAATCATGAATGAATCCCTGTTAGACCACTTGTGGTGAGCGCTACTTATAAGTAGTATATGACGTGAGTGTAAACGTAATCTCTGGCACCACAAGATGAGGGAAGATCAAGAAAGGAAGAGTGGGAACACAATGGAATTTGTATGAAACGCATGAATAGTGAAATGTCAGACAATGGATTGATGATGGATTGAAGATTTGCAAATTAACGGTTGCGATATGGTTTTCCTATTTTTACTGAGTAACTCTGTAATTTTCGTTAAATACAATTCGGTTGCCCTCACCTGTGTCCTCCTTCACTACACACTAATAGAAGCACTAGACGGTAGTTTCGCCTTCGTATGGGACATATCAGCAGTGTGCATCTACCGCTTCTGCTACTCACAGAATTCTAACCTCAAACCTTCAGTCTTACGCGTGAACGCTTCACTTTTGAACCACTGAGCCGGCCAATATCCAACTGCCTACATTTGTTGACAGGGTTTTGCATTCCACTAGTCATAGCTACTCACTAGCACAAATCTAGTCAGTCACTAGCACAGGCGCTCTAACAATGATTCATTCATTCATTCATTCATATTATTCACTATATATAAAATTAATTAATACCAGTTAAAAATCACTTACCAATTTCTGGATAAGCATTAATTTGTTTATTGATATGAATAATTTTATTGAATACTTGTAAACATGTATTTCTTTCATGTATTGTACAAAATTCAAATATAAAATATTTTCCACATTCAAAAAATATGCCAAGTAAAATATTGGATGGATGATTAAGGGGGCTATGGATGATTGGATTACTTGTACATAATCGTTGATTGATAATATCTTCTGATGGATTAGTGACACCACCAGGTATAGTTGAATCCAATGCTTGTGAATCAGGATGATGATGATGATGACGATGATGGTGAGTGAATTTACACGATTTGGTAGAAAACTGAAGAAAAAATATATGTGTATTTGCAATGAGAAAGATTAAAGATGGCTAAAATAGAACATTTTTGAAAGCGTGAATCGATCAATGTTAGACCACCATTAGAAACCTGGAAGCACTAGACGGCCGTTTCGTCGTGGTATGGGACTCATCAGCAGTGCGCATCCATGACTCCCGCACCCCGCAAGATACGAACCCAGGACCTTCGATATTGTGCGCGAGCGCCCTTACCGTTATACCACTGAGCCGACGCAGATCAATTAACAATTGCTAATTTGATGAGATATTAATGCAGTTATAATGGTTACTTTTTGTATTCATAAATGAATCATTGTTAGGTCGCCATTAGAAACCTGAAAGCACTGAATGGCTGTTTCATCCTGTTATAGGGACTCATCAGTAGTGCGCATCCACGAGTTTCGCTACTCACAGGACTCGAACGCAGGCACTTCCTGAGTGCTTACTGCTGATGAATCCCATAATAAGATGAAACGGCTGTCCTGAGTCATCTATGGCACAGGCGAGATATCCGTTTGCTAACCAAAGGACGAATGTCCTTCACTGGTGATAGGGAGTGAAGTAGTCAAACGTGTAGACCGCTTCAATTATATGGGGAGTCTCATCAGTGCTGATGGTCTGGTGATTGACGAAATCTCAGCAAAGGATACAGAAGGCTCGATTGGCTTTTGCCAACCTGCGTCACTTATGGCACAGGCGAGATATCCGCTTGTTAACCAGAGGACGAGTGTACTGAGCAGTAGTTCGCTCTGTCCTACTGTACCTATGCGAAACATGGCCGTTAAGAGTAGATGTTCGTAGGTTACTAGTATTCGATCATAGATGTTTAAGAAGCATTGCTCGTATATCGTGGGACAACCGAGTAAGCAATACTGTCGTTAGGAAACGAGTTCTGCGTACGGATGGCAAATCAATTGATGGAGCATTGAAACTTCATCAGTTGAGGTGGTCGGGGCATGTGTTACGTATGCCCTTTATGCCCTTCAGGGCTACTGCCTGTCCAAAGCCCGGATAAAGGAGGAGGGCTGAGAGTAAGGCTAGCGACCCAATCCCGCAAAATCTAAATCGCTAAAAAAACGCTAACAAGAAAAAATGATTCAAACCTTTTAAACTCTGCTCTGGGAGTTAGAAGGTCTTCATTTACAAGAACCCTTCCACAGTTTGGGCAGCCGGGAAGTAACATCCACCCTCATACCCATAGAAGTACATGAGACCGAATCGGTCAGAATGGAATCCTTTCTACATCTCCTAACAACTCTCTTATCTCATCGACCAACCCTTGTGTTAATGTGGTAATGGCAACTTGAACTGATGTACGTACATACGAAGTTCTACATTACTGTTGACTGATTATAGATCTTAGAATTTCCATTTATTATTACTTGACCTCTAGCAGCTTTAACTACGTCGTGGATTGACCTTTTTTACATATACTCTAACAAAATCAATTTTCATCTCGACATGTCTTCTGATTGTAAATTGATTAAAATTCCCTTGAAGTTTAACTTTTCCGCTCAAAAAAAATTCATGTCGATGCTTATCCTGTACTCATTGAAGTCATTTGGTTTCATCGATCATTTGAAGTCGTAAGCTGTGATGAAAAAAGGTAGATTCATTTCGTCGACTATCTAGTTGATCATACAGTTCTTTGAAAAATTAAGTTCTGCTGTTATTTAGAACAACAATTTACACATACAAAAAAAGAAACTTCACAATTTAATTATCTAGCATAGAAAACTTGATCACACCAAAAAAAGCGTATGGGTATTTAATTTCAGCAGTTGAATAATATGCCAGACTACCTGTTTTTTCTACACACATCAACTATTATGACTGGTCATTTGATATGTTTGCAGATATTACGAGTTCACCTTACTCGGTAAACGAGATTGAAGACAAATGATCCAATGACACGATAGGCTACTCTAACCGGTTTTCCCTGGTCCGGTTAACTATATCAAGTAGTCTTGATAAGGCGAAGAAAGTGTATTCTACAAAGCACCCAGAAAATATGAGTCTGACAAGCAGAAAAATTTATAAATGATAGAACCGTCCATGGGAGAGCCACAAAAATTATGTACTAAAATAATACATTAACCAATGACAGTAAAGGATTTTCCTGGTGAGAAATTGTTAGGATATTCATCCAATATCCGAAGAGAATTATTATTGGTCAATTCCTATTGGTTAATTCCTACTGGTCAATTTTATGGTCATCTTAGATGTGAATGTCAAGTGCTTCAATGTCATTTCTTATTGGTTGTCCTCACTATCAATGTCACTTCAAATGCTGTTTCTTATCGGTCGTCTTAACTATCAATGTCACAGACTTCGATGCCATTTCCTATTCGACCAAAATGTATAAATACGCATTATGTGTAACGTTTTATGACCACGACCAGGACGATGGCTCGGTCCCGGATTCCTAGTCCAGGATCCTGATTCTCTTCTGGACTCGGACCTCGTACTTTCGGGATGCTTCTAGAATACAGGTTCTACTTCATATCACGTCTTCTTATTTTTACTAAATATGGAGGTTGGTATAATCGGATTTGAGTAGCATGTCGTGTCACCGGATCCTCGATCCTCGCTCTCGTTTTCTGACTAGGTAAACCCGCAATAGTTCAAGTGTATCAGGTTGATATGTTTACGTGCATGAGTAACAGAAATGTAATCTCAAGATCAACTGATCAACCCATGCACGAAACCACAAAATCCAGAATTAGGACCTTAATCAAGTGAGTTCTAGGTATCTAACGTCCGCAACAATAACAATCACTTTCGAAACTGTGGAACCGGGGAAAAAAAACCTCGACAACTTACTGATGACTGATTATTTACACAATCAATTGATGACAATGAGGATGGTGACGAAGATGTTAGGGAATGGTGAGATTCATTCTTCATTGATTTCATTGAATAAAATTGTAACCATTTAAATATGATTCGAGATGATTTTATTGATAAATAATTAGTGGTATATGGTTTTTTATTATAATTTCGATAAATGATTGATGCATGAAATAAATCATTTAATGATTGAATCATTGAATTTGTTTGTTTCAAATGGCTGTGCGCATTAAAACAATTATTTCTTCGATTTGTTGTTGATCTATCTACAGGTGGTTGAGCAGGAGGAGGAGTTGTAGTAGTATTATTCAATGTGTTCAATTTTGTTTGAATGTGATCAATTGGTTGAATTTCATTCAAATGCAGTGATGAACATTTTTGATGAATGAACCAATTAGAATCAGAGTTGAATTTCCATTTCCATTTGGATTTTTTACAGTGATAAATAATTAAATAAGCATTTTGATAATTTGATTGTGTAATAATTTCTATATATTGTGGATGATGAGTCTATATTGAAAAAATTTAGATAAAAAGTACAATGAATGTGTAATGTGTTGAAAATTATAATGTCAACGCATTTTTATTAGATATGGAGGGGGAAAACTTGGAGAACTATAAAAGCAATCATCCAGAAAGATACAAGTATTTATTAACAGATGTTTACGCAATATACTGAATATCTATTGGCCAGATGCCATCAGCGGCAACCTACTGTGAGAGAGAGAGAGAGAGAGAGAATAAACCAGATTCTAGTGGAGGAAGAAATCACAAAGAAGCGCTGGAAGTGGATCGAACACACACACTGTGGAAAGCACCCAACTACGTCAAAATACAAGCCTTCACTTGGAACCTTCAAGGTCAGAGGTGAAGAGAAAGGCCAAGGAACACATTATGCAGAGGACTGGAAAAAGACACGATAAGAATGAACAGCAATTGGTTAGAACTGGAACAGAAGGCGTAGGACAGAGTAAATTGGAGGATTTTGGTCGGTGACTTATGCTGAATTAGGGGTGACCGGCTTAAGTACGTGGTGTTGAAAATGGAGATGATATAGAAAACTTGTAGTTCAAATAGACCATTATGTTGGAGTTTCATTCTCTAAGCTGGTTAGTTTAGTTGTGGAGCTTTCATCGTCCTTCTGGATAATATTATTAGTATATACTTCAAGTAGACGTTAGACAGAAGAAGACAAGTCATTTTGAACATCAATAATTGTTCGTTGAATAGATAATCTGTGAATTTTCATATAATAAATAATGACTTCCTTACGCCTGTCAATCCCAATGGAGCAAAGGCCGCCCACCAGTTTACTCCATCCAACTCCGTCCTGGGCTTCCCTCTCCAGTTCTGTCCAATGTTTGTTCATTCCTCTCATATCTTTCTCTATTTCTCGGCGTAATGTGTTTCTTGACCTTCCTCTTTCCCTTTTGCCTTGAGGGTTCCAAGTGAGGGCTTGTCTCGTGACGCAGTTAGGTGCATTTCGTAGTCTGTGTCCTATCCAATTCCACCGCTTCTTCCTGATTTCCTCCTCCACTGGAATCTGGTTTGTTCTCTCCCACAGTAACTTGTTGCTGACAGTGTCTGGCCAACGAATCCGAAATATTTTGCGTAGACAACTGTTAATAAACAGTTGTATATTCTGGATGATGGCTTTGGTAGTTGTCCAAGTTTCCGCTCCATACAGTAGAACTGTCTTGACATCTGTATTGAAAATTCTAATTTTGGTGTTGATTGATATTTGTTTGGAGTTCCAGATATTTTTCAACTGTAAAAATGCAACCCTTGCTTTGCCAATCCGCGCCATCACATCTGCATCAGATACACCTTGGTTGTCGATGATGCTGCCCAGATATGTGAAGGTGTCAACGTCCACCAAGACATCTCCATCAGCAGCGATTTGGTTGGTGCATGTTGTGTTGCATCGGATAATCTTGATTTTCCCTTGATGTATGTTTAGACCTACTGCTGGTACTCTGGTTGTCTTCGCTTGCATTTGTTGTTTCTTGTAAGATAGAAGAGCCAGGTCATCTGCGAAGTCCAGATCGTCCATCTGCGTCCTAGCTATCCATTGAATATCGTGCTTCCCTCCAGATGTTCACGTCTTCTCTTAATCCAGTCGATGACCAGGAGAAAGAGAAAGGGTGAGAGTAAGCAACCTTGCCTGACACTGGTCTTCACCTTGAACGAGTTTGTCCTCCATGCACAATTTTACAATTTCATCCATCATAAGAATTCCATATAATGTTGACTATTTTCTCAGGCACACTGTAGTGTCGAAGAAGCCTCCACAGTGTTTTCCCGTCCACACTATCGAATGCTTTCTCGTAGTCGATAAAGTTGATGTAGAGTAGAATAAATAATAAATCTAAGTAATTCGCTAGTTGAAAATCAATCATTTACTTAGCTTTATTGCTCCAACTTGTGGTGATAATTTTTTTTGATAAGGAAGTGACTAAAGTTGGCCATGGTAATAAGTTCATTCAATCTTTTGTAGAGAGATAAGAGTAAAAGTCGTATACTTAAGTTCCGAGAACGCAATCCTATTTTATACTGACTCGATTTGAATTATGATGACTATATTAACTTATTTTATTGAGACGAAAAAAGTAAGTCTAAACAGGAGGTATATTTAAAAAAGAATAGTGTTCGATTCCAACAATAACATACGCAACAAGTTTTTCAAAGTTGATAATATCATGTAATTTGATTTGATTGTTTGAAAATTTACTCATACAGTATAATCAGTAATATTGTGGTGTGAGTTACTTATAAGTAGTATATGACGTGAGTGTCAACGTAATGTCTGGCAGCCGAAGATAGGGAGAGGTCAAGAAAGGAAGAGTGGGAACACAATGGAATTTCTATGAAACGCATGAATAGTGACAATGGATTGATGTTTTGCAACAGGAACAGTCCAGTTAGATATGATGGACTGATAATTTGCAAATTAACGATTTACGATATGGTTTTCCTAATTTACTGAGTATCTCTGTAATTTTCGCTAAATACAATTCGGTTGCCCCACCTGTGTTCTCATTCACTACAATATGATCAGTCTGTTTGTTAGGTTTTTGTGATCATATCCCGAATTCGCAACAATATTCATGATTAAGTTCACTATTAACTTGAGAAAATGTTTTAACGTACTGTTTTCCAAATTTAAACACAACTACAAATGAACAGCTAATAAAACAGTGTGTAAACACTATTCAAAAATTCTAATTTGGAAATGTACAAACACAAATATATTGATCCATATAGATGAGAAACCATAAATCATACAATCTAAAGAAAATAGATTTACTTAGAGAGAGAAAATAAACTAGCTTCATACGGAAATTCTCAGAGTTCTAGTGAGAAGACGTGAACAATGGAGTTCAACCCTGTCAAGTGTAGGTAGTAGCTACTGAAGACAAATGTGTGAGGTCGCGCAAAATCCCTAGATCAATCAGAGTTAGACAACTTTGGATATCAGCCGGCCCAGTGGTCCGATGGTTAGGCGTTCCCACACAGTACCAAAGGTTCTGGGTTCGAATCCTGCGAGGTGCAGGAGTCGTGGATGCGCACTGCCACTGATGAGTCCCATACCAGGACGAAACGGTCGTCCAGTGCTTCCAGGTTTCTGCTAATGGTGGTCTAACAATGATTGGTTGATGATTTCAAATGTGTGAAAACACGAAACTCCAAAACTCTGCCCGAAAATATCGTAACAGTGCTCACCAGTGACTAGCTTCGTGAGGAAATTCTCAAAGTTCTAGTTGAGAAGACGTGACCAGTGGAGTTCGACCCTGTTGAGTGTATTTAGTAACTACCGAAGACAACTGGGTGAGGTCGCGCAAAATCCCTAGATCAATTAGAGTTAGACATTCACACTGGTGGATTCCGGCTCAGTGGTTCAGAGGTTAAGCGTTCACGCGCAAGGCCGGGGGTCGAATCCTGCGAGGCACAGGATTCGTGGATGCGCACAGTGGATGAGTCCTATACCGGGACGAAATGGCTGTCCAGTACTTCTAGGTTTCTAATGGTGGTGGTCTAACAATGATTGATTGATGATTTCAAATGTGTAAAAACAATAATCTTCTTAAGTCTAAATGAAGAAAATAAACTAACCAGGATAATTTCATTTCACTGAAATTACAAGCCGATCTAAGTTAGGCAACTATCAGGGACTTGGAAGCACTGAACAACAACTGTTCTATCCTATCATGGAACTCTTCATCAGTGTCCACCAATGACCCGGTAATCAGATATTGTGTCTAGAGCTTCACTACTAGGCTATTGAGGTAAGGTTCAGTGGTGTATGAGTTTAGCTTCAGGTAATCTAAGATATGATTAACTGAATTCATAGATCAATCAATCAACAGCAACGTAGAACTTCGTACTAGTACGTACGTCAGTTCAAGTTGCTGTAGCACATTAGCACAGAGATGTAATTGTTAATTAAAATCCCATTGTAGTAGAGGTAGAAGAAGTATTAACGCTAATGGAGAAGTTTAGGGTTCGAAGATATTATTCAAGAAGTAGAATCTAGTGAAATAAACTTAAAAGGAAAAAGATAAAGTGATGAGTGATGCAGAAGGTTGGGATTGGGGAAAACACAAAGAGTGGATGCACCTGCGCCAATGCAAACCATTCTGAGCCATGTCATTCAAGGTCGCTAACCATCAGTGACTTTCATCTCGCGGACCCCAACCAGGATAGCCTACATCTACTGACATGACTCAGTTCACTTGTCAGTGGCTTCATGGATTTGTGCCATGTTTTGGACTGGTCCCCCCTAGCTTTCGTCCAACCTATTCCTATATCTCAAACCATAGCTCGACGACGCAGTCGGTGTTCAGGCATTCGTAACACATACCCCAACCACCTCAATCGATGAAGTTTCATTATTTCATCTATTTACCAGCCACCTTTACCTAATACTCAATTCCTAACAACAGTATTGCTTACTCGGTTGTCCCATGATACACTCGGTAACGCTTCGGAGACACGTATGATCGAAAACCAGTAACCTACCAATGTCTTTTACTCTGACTGGCCATGTTCCACGGCGCAGTACACTCGTCGTTCGGTTAGCAAACAGATATCTCGTCTATGCCATAAATGATGTAGGTTGGCGAAATCCGATCGAATCGTACTGACATTCATAGATAATATATTATGAAACATAGTGTGTTATCTGATGCCTTTAATCTAGTGGTTTATTATTTGAAACAAACCAATTCAATAAGGTTATGGACGACCTTTTAAGTGATACTAGAGTGACCTTCAGAAAGTTCAATAAAATTTTTAATCAATGAAAAGAAATTACAATTCGAATTATCATTTAACTGAGATGAGTTAGTGAAGATGATTTCGATAGGATATTGTTTAAACAAAATAAAACCCTTTTTATATGAATAAGATAATATAATTTAGTTAGATCAATCAGTCAACAACAACGTAGAACCCTGTACGTACGTACGTACATCAATTCAAGTTGCCATACCACATTAGTACAAACAGATGGATGTGTCAATTCAACTTCCAAAGTAGTAGAGGTAGTAGAATTAAGAGCAGTAATCAGAACGATTAAGGTTTAAAGAGATTATACACTGAGTATAATTTAGTGATATTTAACTTAACCAGAGATAAACGTAATGAAGAATTCGTTTGACCATAATTTCGGGTACTGATTCCTATACTAGAGGAGAAACAATTATCCACTATTGAAATCATGAATCGATCAATGGGAGATTACCATTAAAAACTTAAAAGCACTAGACGGCCATTTCATTCTAGTATATAACTCATCAACATTGCCCATCCACGATTCTCTGAAATCACTGGAATCAAATCCAAAACTTTCAATTTCGCTAGCTGGTGTCGTGAATTTGTACTACTGTTGAGTCCCAAGCTAGAACGATACGGCCATCTAGTGCTTTCAGGTTTCTAATAGTAGTCTAACATTGATCGATTCATAGTTTTTTCATGATACTCAACAATCCACACAACCCCATACTCTCTTTATTTATTCAATCGTACTTTATATTCAAAAATCACTCCATCATTGTATAGTGTCTATTGGTCAATCATTTCTAATGTACACTTCACTATAGACATAACCTAACTTAAGGTCAATCAATATTGATGAGATAATCATAATAGTTTAGAACAAAAAAAAATCATTATTTTTTTATAATTTTTATGAATAATAAATGACCTTTTATTTGGAAAGTTGAAGTTTTATGCTTTTGTGTTTCTTCATAGCGTTTATGCAAACTAAAAGGTTATTTAAGGACACAAAAGAGAAATGAACCAATCAGATGGCAGAAATGTGAATAGAGGTTCGTGTGTCTATCGATAAAGTGAATTTTAAAAACATTTTGAAGTTTTTATGCCCTTCATACACTTTTAGTTTTGTTTGATCAGTTTGAGTGTTTTTTTTTATTGATTTTTACTATTGATGATTAAGTCTTATTGAATGTAAATGTATTTTGTACATTTATTGGGTCATTCATTACCTGGGACCGTAGATGCTGTTTTGACGTGGTGGTCGAACTTGCCTATCGTGATGATCCAACTGAGGTATATTGGATGGAATATATGTTCCTGTAGGTTTTACCATGCCAGGCAGGTCGATTGGAGAACGATGAGACTAAAAGCAGCTACTCAAGGTCTGAGGGCGAAGTCGTACTGCTGACTGCAGAGGAGTGTGACAGTAGTAAGGTGTTTCCCTCGGACAACCAGTATCTGCTGCCTTCTCACAAAGAAGGGAGGGTTTAGACAAGGTCTACCCTAAAATTGTCACACCTCACCCTACCTCACGGATTTCTGTTTACTGTGGTAAGGCCTTTTAAAGAAGAGCGGAGCTAACAATTTAGAAACTTCTCATGAAAAGGCCGTGCGTGACCAGCGACAAGCACTTGTCCCTTGGGCTCTGCGGTCACGCTCCAAGGTTGTTGAGACCGACACTAATCTGCCTTCCTTTTCAGGTTCCTCAAGTAAAACTCTCCCACAGTGTGAGCAGTCGGGAAGTAACATCCGCCCTCATACCCATAAAAGCACACGAGACCGAATTGATCACAATCGAATCCTTCCTTCACCCCCTAACAACCCTGGGTCAACCCATTGGCTATCCCCTTCTTTTCCCCTTGATTGCTCTGTTCTGAATACAGATCTAGTATACAAATTGCCTATTATCTAGACACGTACATCTGCAAAGCTAGTCACCGGCTTGATGAAGAAATGAAATTCACCATAGTTCAGCTAGAACTGATTCCTATTTCGATAATCAAAGTAGAGAGAGAGATGTAGAGGCGAGTAATGTACATCACTCTTTTAAGTACAAAAATTAAGTTTATGAATATGGATTTCTCCATATGTTCACCAGAGTACGCAAAAGATATACTTATCAAACTATGTGATTCATTTGGTAGAATATATCAAATAACTCTATCAAAAACTTTATACAACACAGTTTGCTGATCAAGTTTTCAGAGAATAAAACTCTTAATTATCTTCAGCTTTTATTTGCTTTACCAGGTTGGATGATTTTCAACGATAAATCCATGTGTGAAATTATTTGACTGAAATATTCATTAAAATCATGGATCGATCCATGATCCTGGAAGCACTGAACAGCGGTTTCGTTCTAGTATGAGACTCATCATGTGTGCATCCAGGACCTACGGTCTCGCGCGCAAACGCTCAACCTCTAGACATCTGATCAAGTATCCGACGGCATTAATGT